AGCTAACTGCAACTGCGAACTGCGAAAATATGAAGGTAGCAGCAACATAATTTATACAAAATAGTTATATATTGTGTATGCAACAATCTAACAAGTTGCATCATTTAAGTAAACTGCAGATTGCACGACATAAGTGCATGTAAGACGCAAAACTCGTACAAGCATCTTAAACCACTTGCAGCTTCTTATGCTCGTTTGTGCTATGCATAAAGGCAGTCGCTGGGATCCTGCTTCCTTGCCAGGTGCATATTTGTTGAACTCGTTAAAATGCAGCAAGGAAGGACGGCATAAAGAAATAAAAATATTTCTCTTCGCCTTTAATATAGACATAAGTTTATTGTGTATTTTTATGAAATATAGTGCGTCCTAAGAATAAAGAATAATAATAATATTAAATGCATATATGTGCGTGTTATTGTGTTGAAGTTATGAGATTGCAGTACTTTAAGCAAGTGCTATTTAGTATAATATTTTAAATAATTTTAAGGAGGTAGCTTTAAGTGGGTCATAGTAAATTTGATTGGCTTTCAAGTTTTCATATGTCACTTTACTTTAATACATGCTGTTACTATATTTCTCATTTCGTTCATTATTATTATTACATAAATACTTTTATCTTTATAAATATACTTAGGAGATGTTATGTTAAACCTTTTCCGAATTAGTGCATCTGGGCACTTTTACTCTATGATAGCTATGATAGGGGTTCTGCAGCGTCTCGCCCATCTCACTGACTAATTTGAGTATTTCTGATAATCTTTGTGATTATTCAATGGTTGATCTAAGATCTGCGTACCGTCCCGTGCGGTTAGTGATTACTCTGAGATTAGATAGTGATATAAGTACAAAGTATAATATAAAACTATTATTACAACAAAAAAAAAATCAACTTACTAATCTACTGAAAGCTTACTACTCTACTGAAAGCTTACTACTCTACTCAGACAAGTAGTCTGGAAGAGGTTTCAGTTTCACCAAGCTCCGAAAGAAATCGAATGACTATATTTAAAAATATTTATTTTAATATATAATGAAGGTGATTGCTAAAGTGAACTTCTGGCTACAGATCTGCTACTCCTTTCTTATTTTTGTTTTTTAACCTTAATCCTTACTCATTTCAATGTATTATGTATAATACTTAATACATTTTCTTTAGAATGCCCGGCTATGGCGTCCAGAAGATGTAGGTTCTTAGAAAGTAACTGCTTTGATAGTTTATCAGACTGTTCATCGGTGAAGGCGAAAGATCTATTAAGTTATCTTAATTCGATGGAATGGATTTATACAAGGGTTTTATTTATTCTATACAAGGGTTCTGGCGAGGAATGTGGTAGCAAAACAGCGAAAAATTGCTAATTGAGGTACATGGAAGTTATCTAATGGCATGCCACTGCAACCAATTAACCAATCGACTATGTCATCACTATCATCAATAGTTACTACTGTCTCATGTGTGTGCCCTTTATTTGAGGTCAATAGTTGTTGCATTTCCATTGATGAAGTCTTCATATTTGATATTCTGTTTTTGTCATAAATATTTCAATAGCTATTCCGAATATAACGATTTTCCGGCGATTAATAAAAAATCCTTCATTGAGATACTCGTAGTAAAAACGTACTGACGGCAAATAATTGCTCATGCATAAATTTAAATAATTTATATTATTCGATATAATTTGATGTGTATGTTGTGCAAATATTTATGCACAGTTTATGCAAACATACACTTGTTAGCTAAATTTTATTACGGCAACAACAAGAGTAGAACAAAAAAATCACTTAATGAGTGTAATTTTTCACATAATTTCCACATGCAGATAAAATTTATTTGCCTGCCTCAGTGAACAATAAAAACACACCATACGAAGGCCGTACGACAACTGAAATGGCAACAAGGACGAAGAGCATGGACAAATAACCACAATCAAGATACAAATATGATAAACATTTGGCATACAATGGCTTAAATTGTAGCGCAAATAGACGTATCCATAGCCAATAGACAACACAAACACCCAGCGAAATCTCTGATAAGTAAGATGCATTTTGTACGCGAGTACGTGTCAGTGACGAGTATAGATACTTTTTCGCTATTTACTAACAGGACGAGTACGTGAAGCGCACAGCGCGGAGCGGATGACAAACAAACAAAAAAAAATTGTATATTTATTGAAGCGTTGTTGGGATGTCTATTGCTGGATACAAACAACAAAGATACAAATAATAGAAGAAAATATTTATTTTTGCGTTTATGTTTTTTGCACATGAAGAAAAAGACCGACAACTGACAGGAAATGTGCAAACAAAGTTATTAGCTATAAAAAATGTTTGATCCAATCAAAATTTTATGTTTTCTTTTTATTGCCAGCGAACGAGCAAAGTGAAGTTGTACAAGTATTTTGCGATTCGTTTGTGTATTTATAGATACATTTGCGTAATAATTTGTGGAATCAGCGGTTTCTTCTCTAACAAACAATGGATTGCCTGGAAAGTTCACATAAATGACACAAAGCTGGTGGTACATAGTTCGAAAGCAATAAAAGGGCAGATACACTTGAATGCCAAAAAAAATGTCACATACTTTTACGGTTTTGCTGAGCTTCATTCTCAGGATAAAATGACAATTCTTTAAAGTAGCTTAAAGTAAGAACTAAGCACGATTTAGTATTTTGTTTGTTACCATTCCAGCCTTTGATATGTAGCTCTTATTGGTATCGCTTGTTAGGTCTTATTAGGGCTAGATAAGAGTGCAACTGGTCATAAGGAATTTCGTTGGTGTGTTAGATTTCTATTATATCGTTATTGTATAATACAAGATGTAGAAAATGTGCAAACTTCCAGCGGAATAAATTCAACAGGTGATTCGCAAATTTAACATATGATAAAATCCATATGGATAAGGGCAGTTAAAACATGAAATGCGATGAGATATATTGAGGCATAAAAATTACAAAATAATCCAATCAAATACTTTATGTCACATAGAAATTTGTAAACATTAAATATGATTTAAATACATTTTAATAAGTATTTTTTTTTTTAATTTTATCAAAATTAAAATTTTTTGTGATGATCTCACATATCCGTATTTAAAGAGAAATAAAGGAATAATGTTTATTATAATAAATTTAGTGCACTACAGAAAATATTCTTCAGTTTATACTACATCCTCTTAGAATTATATGTATATTGTACATAATAAACTTTTTTATTTATTCAACTCAATAATCTTATACCTACTAAAATATTGAATTATTTCTGAAAACTTCATGGTAAGTAGGCAACAGTGAAGTCCATAAGAACTTCATTCAAATCTAGTCTAAAATTATACAACAACATCATTGCCTCTGGTAAATATGCAAGATATCAATGCATATTTCCCATTCGAAAGCAAAAAAGAAAAAAGTGTCATTACATTTTAAGTACCACAAGTATTAATTGTATGTATTGCAAATATTAAAAACAGAATCATATCAATACGAATACTATTGTCTCGAAACTAAACTTCAAATACAAAATAGTTTTAAAAACTACTTGAAAAAAGATAACCTAAATTCATTTATCTGTTTCCAAAGCAACCAAACTTCTACTGGAAATATCCAAACTTGTGGAATAAAAAGAGCTAATTCAGGCAGATTCAATCATTCTGTCATTTTGCAAAATATATAATTTTCTAAATTTTCTTTTAGGAAGTCTAATTTGAAAAATTGATTCCTAATGGAATGGAATCTACAACACAAGATACTACAGAAAAACCTCGTTATATAAGGTAGATGCATATTTCAAAAAATTTTGTTATACATGATAAATCCATTATTTTTTAAACATTTTTGAAAAAAACTTGTGCGTTTGACGATAGTAAACTGTTGAAGATTCCCTTGTCTTGTCTTTCTATAAAAAGAAATAATCTCAGAGTACTAATCGGTGGGTTATTATAGCGCATAACATAGGCGGACTCTACAACGTCGCGGTAGGTTTCATTATAGACCCAACATGTCAATATATTTTAGAAACTGCATTTGCAAGAAACTGATTGAGATTGTTAGAGTATGTTAGAGTATTTGCTCTTTACCTCTCTATTTGATCCCTTTAAAAGTTTTAAGAAAACTAAGAAATCGAAGGTACTGTGACTGGTTCTCTTCTCTATAAATTCTTAAACAATTGGATTTAGGCACAATATTCAACTGACTCATTACGCTGATTTCATCCAGTCTTCAACTGAAGAAAAAATATATTGTGTGAAAATATTTAACATTAAATAAAATTATGACATTTCGTTGCAAAAAGTAGAAATTCAATTTTAAATACTCACCTTAGGTAAAAATTTCAATCAGGTCAAATTTCAATTTATATTGGATAATTCCGGCAGACGGCTAAAATGCCATAGCTGTAAGCTTGATATGTATAATATAATTGTTATTGAATTTGTAATAGAACAAATTTAATATGAAGTAAAAATAAAGCTAATAATACTATTGGATAATTACAAATCAGAATGTATGAAAGGAATTATGTGACGAAGTGGAATACTATATGATTGCGTTGAAGCACAACAATTTTGAAAGTTTCGATATAACATTAACTATTGAAACAGGGCAGACTCTAACGTATTCTAAACACCTTACAAATAACACCTTTTGGGTAACAGCTGCACATATCAAAATCGATCGTAAAAGTGATATATAGTTTTTTTTATTATCTTTTGTTGTCAGGAGAGAAGATAACATGGTGAAGAACATAGTGAGATAACATAAAAAAGAGCAGAAATTTGTTCAAGAGTGAATTTGGAGGCTTTTCAAATCACTAGAAATATAGCCTAAATAACTTACTTATACTTGTACTTCTTATACTTTATGAAATGATTATTAATAGTAATACAATATTATTATATAAAATATAATAATATGATATATGATATAAAGTAATATAAACAATATAAGTTTTTGTTGTAAATAATATTGAATTCCTTAATCAAGAGAGAGAGAGAAAAAAAAGAACGGTTAAAATGAAAAAAGATATATATTATTTTGAAATAGCGAGTCTATATCACATGTTTTATACTGTAGCTTTGGTTAATTTTAAAATACATTGACTGAAATCAAATTTCAAAACAAATGAGAATAATATGAAATATGTTATTGCATTAGTTTTTTCCATTGTTGAGAATGTCAAGTTGAAATTAATGCTGAAGAATATGTATAGCATGGCCCGACATCCATTTGTCATTTTGTTTATTTTGTTCGCAATTTAACGACATCAACACGAAACTTAAACAAGCGTAGAAGCCTAGAACAGGAACGTGAACGCAAAATAGATGTTTTATATGCTAAATAGAAAAATATTTAAATAAAAAAAAAATCGAAAATAATAAGTATTGAAATATGTTAAATAACTGACTTACAATTTTAATTCGCAACCACATCTGAACAGTTATGAGAACATTTCCCGCTTCAATTTGTGTTCACTCTGCTCCATTGCTTTTATAGCCGCGCTCACTTCTTTTCTCAGGCTAAGTGTTTCAAGTACTTCCTCTGTGACGGCAGCGAATGATTCCTTTATTTCCACATCGTCCTCTAAGAGCTGTAATACACAGTCGCCATGAGGATGACGAAGTTTCTTCTTCAAAGCATCGACCACCTTAACTTTGGTAGTGTCGTACCACTTCTTATACTTCCTTTGAAGACGCGTATTTGCACGTGATGGTGCTGCGGACATGGCCTCTTCTGCTTCTGTATTCTTCGTATTTTCCATATTGTCGGAACAGTTTATTGTATAATGATTTTTATTGAATCATACAAAATACTGTGTTATGTTTTTGTAACAATTTATGGAAAATAAAGGCTATTGCTAAGTATACTTCATAGGCGAATTTGGGGGAGCAGAATTTAGATTGTGAGATTGAAAACCTGTAATTTTAAAATATTTTAGTCATTAATTTTTTTTTTTTTATTTATGAAATTGTAGTTATTGAAATTAATTTATTTTTAATAAATAAATATTGTATATTTATTTTTTATCATATGGAACTGAATTTGTAAACAGATTTCAGTATAAATAATCGCTTTATATGTTTCCAAGAGCATCTTTGGGATCAGAAACATAAAATAGTCGCAGAAAATTTTCTCAAATGCAGTCCTTTTTTGTTTCTAATCGATGTCAAAACTGTACATCAGCTCTGAATAACATTTGTCGGCAACCGTTTTATCATTTTCAAAGTAATCGCTATAAATGTTACCGCTTGCATATCAAAATTGTCGCATGATTCTTCATCTCCACATTCTTTGATTGACCTTCATCTGGAGTTGTCCATTGTTTTGACTGCCCATTGGGCCCTTTGGTGTGTTGTGATGAATACATATTCCCAACTGTTAAACATGGCTTAATATTCGATTGAAGTCACACAGTTGCGTTTTTGGTGAAAAGTGAAAATGCGTTACATTGAACTTTTGTGTATTGAATTTAATTCTATATATTTATATAAAATGTGATATTCCCGCTCATATGAGGTTGAGATGCCCACACCCAAGCAATCCCTCATTAGTTGAGCGTCTAGCAGTATTTTAGATTTCGATCGAAGATTTCTAACATGATTACTTGTGCTGATACGACTACAACGGAACATATTGAACCATTTTTAACCATTAAAGTTGATGGAGCAGGTCAACATAGTGTTCGTCAAGTCCTTTTCTTAATCACGATGATGATTTTTTACGCAAAACATTAATTCTTGATAAGCACATGAAATTCAATTAGTTTCACTTTCGTTGAAATTCACAGGAATGCTTGCTTTCATTGATGGGCAAAAACATATAACATCACGCAAAACTTTACAGTAGTCTATTTAAACAGGGAAGTTGACTTCAAAGCGACAAAGTGTATTCTTTTAAAGAGGTAAGGTTCTAGGTTCGGACAAAAATAAAAAGAAAGTACAGGCGTTTTGATAGGAAAACCTGTAAAAGCATATACTATATCTCAGAATCGTATTGTATCGTATATAATGGCACTACAGAAGGTTTTTCAAAAGCGAATTTTTTTGATAAAACTTTTTAGTTTAGCTTTATAAAACATATTGCAATGACAGCAATTCTTGAGAATAATCCTTTTCAAGGCACAAGAAGACACTCATAAAATCTATTATAATCTTCCTTAGGGCGTCTGGAAGAGAGATTCAATTTAGGAAACGTAACAACATTAAATATAACTAAAATAGGTGGGACAACTTCTTTTTACCACGACCACGAACTAATTTTCAATTATATGGTATCTTATATATATAAGATAATATAAGATTATATAATATAGTTATAATTCATTTAATAATTACCATAAAAACTATTTTTAGTGGCACTTACCCAGTCTAATAAATACGGAAAATTTGGTGGAAATTTTCTTTGATGAAATTTATTCGAAATAAAAAAAAAGAAAATTATTTAACGTCAAAAATTTTAAAAAGCATTCTCTGTTAAAATGAAAATATTTAAATTTTTATTTTTTCAATAATGAACATTCTTCGATGTTAATGTCAGCGAAAATAAAATTTGAATAATTATAAAGAAAAGTTGAACTGACGATTGTTGTCCTTATTGGTTTGCAAGGATAATAATCTATATATTGCAGCATTTTGCATATTTTTTGAAGTTTTTTAATAAAAACTCTTTTTTTTCTCAACGAGTTTAATTAAAACATTTAATTAACCTCACTACTTGAGTGTTTAAAAGCAGTGTTTGTATCTGCAAACTGACCATAACATTTTATATAAAACGACACACATAATAAAGTGAAATTAGTTTATAAAACTCAAACTAAAATATATCCATTTCTGAAATGCAATATAAGCTTTGTGTACCTTAACACTATATTTTGATATCTTAATTTTTTTATTAATAAATATTGTTTAAAACCCAAGGTAAAACCATTTTATAAATTATAGCAATTTTAAGCAATATTCTCGGTCGGTAATGATATACATTCTGCAGATATTTTTTTTTTCTTCTCATCAATTGCAATAATAGTAAGTTTAACATTATTAGTGATTACAAGAACCCTTATCGGACCTTAACCCTCTTACGCACTCTCCTCCAATTACTTTTGTCTCCTGCTGTTGCCCAATCGTTGGGTTTGTTAAATTGTTTGGTCCATTATCTGCTATATTGTCCTTTCATCTTGCTCGTAGTTCTTCTCGTTTCTTGTTCTCCACTATCACATTTTCAGTATTTTGTTGAATATATTCGTCATATCGCTCTGAGTATATGTCTTGCTTATTTTAATTAAGATATCAAATTTGAATTACACTATCTGCTTTCCCGTATAACTAACCATTTTGTCTAATATAAGATTAATGCCTCTTGGAGAGCAGTTTGTTTTTGAATATCTTGCTAAAGTCGTAATAAGTACGTTAAGCAGACAAGAGAATCTTATTAATATCATCATATATGCTATTACCGTTCATCGTTTTATAATAGATGTCTACGAAATTTGTCAAGCATTTGTGAAGCTTGAAACCGAGAGACTGACTTGGCGATAAAACAGAACAGATTGCCTTATAGCATTTACCTGAATGTGTACTATAAGCCCATCGGTAAATTGAGTTTTCATTCTTACAGTAAAAAATAAATTGAATTAAGTTCTTAACGCAATAAGAATATTTTTAACGAATTCTAATTTTTATTCCAGAACTTAAATGTAACAATAAAAATTTGCGAATCCTCAAACAAACGAGTAGATAAAGCTCGTTTTTCGTAAACTTATAAAACAATTGTTTATTCAGTTTTTAAGCTCCAAATTGCAATAAATTCATTAACATTTATACGGCCGTCACCATCTGAATCGACTATTTGCATAAGGACAGCAATTTCTTCATCAGTACAAGTCTCACCAGTTTCCAATATTATTTGTTTCAGTTCTTCAGCTGTTATAAAACCGTCATTATCCGTGTCAATGCAACGAAAAACTTCTCTCAAATCTTCGTTCGAACATTCATCCGTGAACAACTTGGGTCCAATAATCTTAACAAAACTAGCGAAATCAATTTTATCTTTATCTTCCGCGCCAAACTCATCAATCAACGCTTGCATTTCAGCATCTGTTATATGTTGATTTATGCGTTGATATACTAAACGCGTGATTGTAAAGAATTCATTGGTTGAAATATAGCCGTCCTTATCTTTATCGGCAGCAGCGAACATTTGTCTCAAATGCGAAACGTTTTCCTCGCTTAGGTCGTCTGCCATTATAGGTGTATATACAGACCTATTAATAATGTGTTATTAAAATTTAATCAAAATTTAAAATTTCCAAAAAAATAAAAATTTGACTTTTCTTTTATTTTTTTTAAGAGAGAAATTTTGATTCGTTTCTTTAGATATTTTTTTTAATAATGAAAAATGTATTCAATTAATAGTATATTTAAAACTGCAAGGCACACTAAGATACAATATATTATTATTATAAACATTTTTGTTGTATACTGCATATATTGGATTAAAACTATAATATATATGAGGGGACTTTTAAAAGTTTGCTTAAGTTATAATTTATAGCTTTAATCACAATCACATAGGTCCACTTTCTAGAATAGTCGCTCTTAAAGACCAGTTCTTTTAATTTTTTTTTTATTTCAGAAAACAATATAAATTAGACTAAGCCAGGTTTGAGGATAATGGCGCTTGTAGAAATCGCTTGTGCTTGCTCTTATGTATAGCTGTGATTCTTTTTCCAAAAAAATTTTTTGCCCACAAAGGTAAATACATTTCCGTATACTATTCAGCAGTTAAGATCTGCTCAGTGTTCTTGAACTTCAGTAAAAATTCGGGATCCATTCTATCGTGTTGATTTCTGCATATATATTTATATGGTGCTTAATATTCGCTGTACGATCATGACATTTTGGACTTCAGCAAAGTGATGCTCGCTCACATCATCAGTCGAAGGTTTTATGCAATCCCATAAGATTCATCCACCATAGACAAATGTGTATACAACATAAAATGTTATTTTTACAAAATAAAGAATACATTTAATATTGTGTTAATCTTATTTAATAGTAATTTTTATTCCGTTCACTTCATCTACTTTGGTTTTATACATTTAACCCATCGTAGTTTCCAGTTTGAGAAACACTATAATATCAACCACTTACGATTTGACTTATTTTCGTTTTCGGATTTCGCCGTTATCGCATAGGTTATTGAACGTCCATGAATTTTGAAAATAACGATCATCATGTCATATCATATCATGTCATCATATACGTGTATTAGAATTAGGTTAAGTATCTAAATACAAAATTAATTTTGCTAGAGTTTAAAATGAAACTCAAAAGGTTTGTTGGGGGAATATTTTATTGATTTTTACTGACAAATGTTCACGTTACGGCTCATTAATTATTATTTACTTATTTTGGCTTATTAATTACAAAAATTAATATAAAAAATAAATTTTTCGTTTCGTTTCGTTGTGGTTTTTTTTTTCTTATAAGGTTTTGTTGTCCAAAACATTGTGGCTCCATACAATGTTTTATAAGGGGACCTGAAATCACAAGTTAACCTATTTAATTAAGTTTTGATCAATTTACATCAAAATATATTTAAACATTAAATTTACATTTTATTTTAATTAAACATTTTTTTTCTTGAAATAAATATTTTGGGTACTTCTATCTTACAATGTTTGAGGAAATGTCTTAACATATATGAAAAAAAAAATATATTAAAAATGATTTTTACATTCTTAACTTATCTTGAGAAAACATACTTTTTGGTTTTTGGCTGGCACATAAAAATAAGGATCCTTTAGGTTGCACGTTACACATTTAGCTATCATCCACCTAAATCATATCTAAATTAAATTTTTTGCTTAGTACGTTAAATCTGAATTATTACCTTGAGAGTTATTTAGCTTTTGCCTGGTAAATGGTGAATATGTAGCATCAAGATATGTGCTGCAAACAGTTTATACAAAATGATCAATTTATCAATATAATCTAATACAAAAAAAGCACTCCTACGATTTTTAGTGGTGGTGCTGGTGGTGGTGGTGGTGGTACAGACTGGAAGCATTAGATCTTATTTTCCACCATTTCCTGTATAGTTAGTAAATAAAACTTAGTAAGCATAGCTGTCAAAATGACTAATTTACTTTAAATAATATTTACTTTTACTTCCAGTATTAATTGTTGATTGTTATCAGCAGATTTTCTTGCGCGTCGTGCAAACCTTGCGCTTCACGCAGACCTTGCGCTTTGGCTTACGCTTCTTCCCTTTACGACCCGCATTTGTTTTCTTTTTCTGTCCACAGCCCTTTTTCTTCTTTTTCGCGCAGGCGGCCTTTTTTGTTGTTTTCTTACAGGGGCCGCAATCCGCACCTGCGTTCCCGGGACTCTCGTCGACGATACGGTAAACCAATTTTTCTTGGGCAGTCAAAGAGTCCCAGGTAGCGCGACCAATCCTAGCAGTTTGAACTAGCGTTAGGTGCGAATTCCAGCTCCTGAACTGCTGTAGAAAGGTTAAGAAACTATTATTGCTTCCCCTGGTTTTCATATTCGTTACCAATGCTTTGATAGAATTAAAAATTTTTAAACAAAGTTTTAATGAAACGAATTTTGTAGTTAACTCTATGTAAAAAAAATATGAAATGATAATATGAAATTTTCAAAAAGCAAATAATTTTTTGAAATCAATATGAGAACGTGATTTAAATTAAAAATTATACGAGAAGCAAAGTATTCATTCTAAATACTTTTTGTGTATATTACCATATGAGAAAGTTATATATACGTCGAGTTTTAAGTGTCCGTCCGTATGCAATACCTTTACCTTTAAGATATGTTATAGATTCGTATGCGGTTATGATTTCTGGATGATGGACACTGCTGATGACAGAAACCCTTAAATAAATGTTAACATTCATTGTATATGAATACGTTTTACCTCCGCCTTGTCTACTTCATTTTGAATTAATTGCATTTCGATTTAAATTTTAGTTTCAATGGAACTTTGAAGAACAATTAAATGATTAACCACTAAAGCTTATTTTATTGGTTTTTGTTAAAATCCTACTAAGGAGCAAACTATCATATGACCATTTATGTACGTAAAGAACACTTTAACATTCATCTAATCTCTTATTTTTCCATCTATGAAGTTTATTTTACTTGGTAACTTAGTACCAATCCGTCATGATTTATTTCGTTTTATTGCATATTCGTCCATCCAACTTCTAATGAGTCTAATGACCAGAAAGGACCTATTAGAGGCAGGTATCAAGTGCACGTACATAATTATTTATCCTGTCTACATATGTCGTCCTTTAAGCAAAGTGATGATAATGAAAATAATAAAATGAATTATCACAGAAAAGAGTAATGAAGGGAGTACACTCGTTCGAAGTGTATGGTAATGGGTTCTTACATGCCCAATAACCTTAATTCAAGTCTTAAATGTTAGTTTGGTCAACGGTTAGAAGGGGTAGAAGGGGAGAGAAATAAATAGCTTCTTCTTGAGATTTGTTGCGCAGAAACTAATTTTATCACAGTAGTTGGTATGCAACATGAAGTCGTGACATATTTTAAGTGCCAAGAGCAGTTCACATTCAGTTCAAAACTTATTTTGTGTAATTTAACGGAATAGAAAAAGTTTCCCTAAGTAAAGGAAAATAAATGAACAAATTTTTTTTCTGGCAATGTGAGAGTAGAACTTTTGTTTATTAGTAAAATATTTAGAAAATATAGAGCCATATAGATAAAAATAATTTTTTTAAATAAATATACACATTTAGTTAAAGATCATTTTTAACAAAAAGGGAGAATAAATAATACGTTTTTATTTTATAAATCGAATAGGACACATTGTTAAAGAAACAAAAGTTAATTAACTGCAATTTAATTGTAAAAAATTTATTTATTTTATCTAAATAAAAAATAATTAACTGAATTCTTTTAAAAAAATGTGTCAAAAAACTTTTACCCATGATAAAGTTGATACGTGTATTATTCCAAAAAATTTTTAGCCTAACCATACCATTATTCAACAATAAAGAAGGTTAAGAAATCAAGAATAAAGAAAATCTACTGCTGGTTCATTAGAATCAATTTCAAGTGCCATCGAGATTATTAACTTTATTAAAAATATGTGTACATTAAACTAGACTTGTATCTAACAAGTCTATATAATTTGTTTCGTTCGGAAAAATACCGAGATGTTATGGCTAAGTACCTATCTAACCTACCTACCTACCTAAACACGTTTTTTGAAAAAAATATTTAAAAAACAACTGCAGTTCAATAGTTCAGTAGTGTATACTATTTTTGAATACATTATATGGCAATGTTCAATGTTATATGAAAATATTTCAAAGAATTCAATATTTTAAAGTTCAATTTTGGACTGAAAATATTTTTTTACATTTAAAAAAAAATTAAATAAATTTAACATATAAATTATTCTTAATAATATTCTTCTGTAACTTAATACACTTTTGATAAATAACCTGTATAAGGTTATTAGTATTGTTACCATATAATAAGACCTTAACTTTTTCTTTGCACAGAAGTCATTAGATCCGTCCTAGCATTTGCGACAAAGAAATCGTTTGTATAAAGTTATAATATTGTGTAGTAATTTAAAATCCATACTCCGAATACTGGTTATTGAAAGACCCAGTTCTATATGTTCCCAATCTTTGGCCCAATATATGACTTTGTCAATTGTAAGTTCAGCTGGTATTGAAGAAAGCCTTGTGGAGGGAGATTAAGACTTTTTCTTACTTAGCTGAAACATGTTTTCACTGTGTCTATATACTGCGTTGGTAAACCCGTTTTTAAGTGGAGCATATAGTTTGTAGTGCTAGCGCAAAGAAATAGTATCTTTTTTATAAAAAAAAACTAAAGAGTTTTTACACTTGATCATCGTGTTTGTAACTCCAAACTTGGGCACCGTAGGGTATAATTGAAGCTATTATTAGATTAGAAAGTTGTTTAAGGATTAGAAAGTTATTTAAGGATTAGATAAGTGTTCTGCCCACGTGGAGTTAATTGCACTTTTACCTAATGAAAGTTTAGAGGTCAAATGTTTATTGTAAGAGAGTTTATACGTAATTAATATACCGAGGTATTTATATACATTGATATACTAAATACACAAAATCGTACAAACAACAAAAGATTCTATCATACTTAAAATATTTTGTATGTTGCACATTCATTTACATTTGGTGCTTTCCCTTCAACTCTTACTCTCGCAGCCTCCGAATAATTTCACACCGAATAATAATCGCAAATCCGGATATTCGAAGACTCCGGATTTTCAAAAAATTCGATTTTATTTTCAAAGCCGGAGACTTCGTTGCTATCCTATTAATCGATTAATCGAATAATCGGATAATCGTATAACTTCGGTATTTAAAATATCCGAATAATACGAACAGCACTAGTATTTGCAGTGCTACTCCGTAAAGATAAAATGCTAGTCTGATACCCAAACTCTGACACAACTCAGCATCTGCATTTTGTGCATTGCACATATGTGATTATTTGTTAAATTAAATAAACAAAATACATTATTTTCAACGGGAATATATTATTTGCTGTTTAAATTGCATGTTTCGAAATTTTGGTTAATATTCAAAATACTCGACTTTAAGTGAAGTGTGAAGCTATGCAGTTTGTATAGATTTTGTCAAAAATGAAAACAAATTTACAATATTTATGCAAATATCCGCGCAATTTGTACTGCAAGTACTTGAGCGGGCTCGACACATCTCTGGCAGTCGACAGCCAGCAGCGCAACATGAGAGAAATTAAAATGATTAAATTAAATTGTTTCAAATTTATACCCGCGTTCATTGTCGTCCTTAATGCGCGTTCTGCTCAAATCCCAATGTACTGCCTTTCCCCGACACCATTTCTGCACATTTAATTTAATTTACAATTTTTAATTAAATTTCTTTAAAGTATGGCATTGCAGGCAGCAACAAACAATTTATGTCCGCCCATCCCCATTAAAAAGTGCATCTAATGAGTTGGATTATAAATTGTTTGCCTACGATTTGTGTCATTACAAGATTTTATGCGACTTAATAATATAAAAACTTTATAAACCTTTTAGTTTGTATGAAAAACAATAAAGATTACATACATTAGATATGGGCTTGAGTTTAGCAAGTGAACTGCAATTACCTGTTCGTGGGTTCGTGTCTGGTTCGTGTCTTTTTGTTCATAGCTCTCCTCAAACGACTCAATTGTTGTCTGCACAGCTTTTACTCAATTCATAATAGATAATAGTACTCTGATCCCATCAAACACATGACTTAAAAACCAAGCACATAAAACCATGACAACATTTGCTCAATGAGAAATAAACAATGGGCGAATGATGCGGCGTAAGATAAAGATATGGTAAACCGGTGTAGCTGAAAATCGTTTTCAGGTCCCAAGATTCATATGGTCCGAATTACACTAAATTCATCCTATTCAGATTTTTGAACTAAAGCCGATTCAAATCAGTACTAAGGTATTAGTGGCAGACTTATGCATATTAGAAAGATATACAGTAACACTTGTTCTATCCTTTAACGACTTTTGTTGCAATCGTGGTTTTGTGCACGAGGAGAAAACTATACTCCATCTCAAGTATCAGTGTGCATTATTGGTTAGGGGGAGACTCAAAATCTTTGGGACCCTTTTTAAAGCTGACCTGATAGACCTGCCATCCTTTAAAATAAGAATCATAGTGAAATTTTTAATCTTGTCTATTTAGTAACTTTTCATTTAAATGGAGAAATCGTGCTTTTTCGAAAGGATGTTCAAAGGAATGTTTGGGAATTGTCTTACAAACTATATTATAACTATCTATCTTATAAACTGTCTCATCTGTGGTATTACAACGAGTCATTATTTTTGCTTCTATGAGCTAGGGTGCACAAGATTATCACTCTAACTTAACCTATCCTAATATACAATGCTTAACCTCAATGTAAGTTTTCACACCTTATTACAACAAAGTAAAAATGAAGGAAACCTCTTTTGTTCACGAAGTAAAGAGGGTGGCTAAAAATTTAACGGGAAATAAGCTAAAGTAATCAGTTACTTCTGTTGGAGGTACTCGTATATATTGAACTTCTTGTTAGTGAATTGTTGGAAGATGGATGGACATTAAAGAAATATTGTTTTTATATAAGAGATTATTATTAAAAAAAATATTATTGCTATTATTTATGTAAATAATATTCCAAATTTTGTTTATATAGACTAAAAAGGTGTTCGTTTGATAGATCTTTGATTGTTTGAAAATAGAACACAAATTTTTCGTCACTTGTAACTCTAACCTTAATTCGTCAATTTCAAACCGTCGGCAGTTCAGTTGCTGTTTCTTTTCCTTAGGAATCTTCTTGATCTATTTTTAATGATATGTTTCATCTCATTATATTTAGTAGCTTCAGGACAGTGTTGCAAAGTTGTGACTGTTAGTGTTGGAATACATTGGAATTAAGTTGCTAATAAAAAATATTTGAAAAAGTACTGCCTTCAATTGCTTACATCTTGTTTCTTACCTGGCTTTTCCTGGCACTGTAGGGTAATTTACAGTTTATCGCGCCTTGCACTTCCGTCCTTACTTTATTAACTT